AAGTGATAGAAATGCAAGTTATTATTTACATTATTTGAAAGCCAATAATAAACCAAAACGTAAACAGATGGAAATAAATAAACTCCGTGCAAAAAAAAAAACTCTTCAAATTACTAGTTTTATTTAAATTTATATCCTGGCAGAGATAATACCTGTACAATGTTGTCACGTTGTTAACATTTTTCTAACTTCAAATTCTGCGATAACTCCTAAAATACTAACAATTGACCCATGGGTAATAGGACAGTTTTAGCTTGGAATGGGCCATATTATCTCATGTTAAAATATTTGTACTCATACCTGATACACCCTGTAGATACAGTCACAATATAACGTTGGCGTAACGATGTTTCAACCACGTAAATATGAACGGTACAAAGAGCTACGTCGATTCAACGTCGTAATTTGCATTATGAATTTTTAAGGTGGTAGACGCTTTTTACTCATTGGGCGTCGACCGGTGAGATACCACCATGCCAGAATTGAGTAGCGCTAAGTGGTATCACCACGTTCCGCTACTACGCTGGCAGTCCGGTTCCAACAATGAGTAACAGATAGCATGATGGCGCCTCCAGGATCAAAATATTCCGGAGGTAAAATACCCGACCACTCGGATCTCCGGGCGTCGGGTGATCCTGGGGGTCCTTCATGCAAAGATATAAAGAGAAGATCAAAAACTCAACTCAGAATTGATTTTAGCAATATAAGAGGAATAAGTACAAATATGAATTCAGTTCACCAATATCTTGAAGAACAAAGACCTGACATCCTTGTTCTCACTGAAACTAAAATCAGTTCTGCAACACCTATTGTGAACTATCTTTATCCCGGCTATGACCTATACCACCGATTTCGACATAATTTTGGGATCTGTGTGTACATTAAAAATGACCTTTCATGTCATCGAGAGGAGAAGCTAGAACCAGCGAACCTTGATATCATATGGCTAAAATTCACCTCAAAGTCATCGACCAAGTTTATCTGCTGCCTCTGCCGACCGCCATCTAACACCGAGTACCAAAACTTTTTCGCGACATTATCCGAAAGCTGTGATAGTATACAGTCAAACTATCCACAGGCGGAAATTGTCTTTTTAGGCGATTTCAACGTCCACAATATACCCTGGCTGAAACACCACAACAAAACAGATAACGAAGGCAGAGAAGCAGAAGCTTTTGCCATAAGTTGTGGTCTAACGCAGCTTGTCGATGAACCTACCCGTATCTCAGAAAGGGGCGAATTTGCAGCGCTTTTAGACTTGTTCCTAACCACAAATCCTGACTCGTACACAATTCAAGTAGATGCTCCACTTGGTTCGTCCGATCATAAACTTATAATAACAAAGTGCGAAATCCTCATCCCACCAAGCCAACAACCACTTCCTCGTAAAATGTGGCACTATAAATCGGCAAAATGGAATAACCTAAAACAGTTTTACCTGGATTTTCCATGGCAAGAGGTTTGCTTTAAAACAGCTGATCCCACTATTTGCTATAATGAAATAACACAAGTAATCTTATCTGGAATGGATGCATATATCCCACATACAACTAAACGTAGAGCTAATGCAAAACCTTGGTTCAACAGCTAGTGTCAAACGGCTGAACAGAAAAAACACAGAGCATATAAGCTTTGGAAACGACAACAAACCGCTCAAAACCACACAGAATTTATAGAAGCCAGAAATAGTTGCAAAATTACTATTGACTCCGCTAAAGAAACATACAATCAAAGAATAAAAAACAGGTTGCTGAATTGTCCAAGTAGTTCTAGGTCCTTTTGGTCTCTTGCAAAAGCTGTTGGATCTAACTTCACCAAGTCATCCATACCACCACTTACAGATAAAAATAATCACTTAGCCACATCAGAGGAAAAAGCCAATATGCTGGCCCAAATATTTTCCTCCAACTCCAACCTAACAGTGCCAAACGGAAAAGCTCCACCGTTCATTGAAAGGGTTTCCCAAAGTATGCCAGAGGTACCCTTTTGTCACAGAGAAATACGAAAATCCCTTAAAAAGCTAGATACAAGCAAAGCAATGGGTCCGGATGGCATTCCCGCAATAGTACTCAAAAATTGCGCCAACGAACTCACCCCAACTTTCGCAAAATTATTCAATTTGTCTTACAGGCAAGGAGTATATCCATCATCATGGAAGTCTGCCGCAGTACAACCCATACCAAAGAAAGGAAAAAAGACAGATCCGTTAAACTATAGACCAATTGCTCTACTTCCGGTGATATCAAAAGTAATGGAAAGAGTTGTGAACAATCACCTAACCAAGTACTTGGAAAAGTACAAAATTATCAACGATAAGCAATACGGATTTCGAAAATATAGGTCAACTGGCGATTTACTTACATACGTCACTCACTTATGGCAAAAAGCGATTGAGTTGCGGGGTGAAACAAGAACAATTGCCTTAGATATGTCTAAAGCATTCGACAAAGTTTGGCATGAAAATCTGCTCAACAAGCTCAAAGCAATGGGATTATCGCCGAAACCTTGCACTTGGTTTGAAAGTTACCTAAAGGACAGATCCATTTATGTTGCACTGGATGGCCAGAACTCCAACTCTTACCAAATAAATGCTGGTGTGCCACAGGGAGCAATCCTTTCGCCAACTCTTTTTCTGATTTACATAAATGACCTCATAGATAAAACAGTAAATCCACTTTATTGCTTTGCAGACGATGGCAATGTAGTCTCCTCACTCATACCACCCACAGGTCTTTCCGCACGTGAATTCCATCATCTTAGACTAACTCAAATATCGCAGATAAATAACGACCTGGAGATAATAGAGGACTGGGGTAACAAAAACCTTGTACAGTTCAACGCGCAGAAAACCCAAGCAGCTCTGTTTTCAAAAAAGACCAGCACCGGTGAGCCAAACATCATGCTATCTGGAAGTGCTGTCACATTACAGAGTCAGTTGAACATCTTGGGGGGTTACTGCAGAGACCAACATGTCTTGGCACAGTCACGTGGCAGATATTGCTAAAAGGGCGTCCCAAAAGCTGGGGGTGCTATTTCGTACAAGACATCTGTACACACCAAGCCAATTGCTGACACTCTACAAAGCCCAGATTCGACCAACTATGGAGTACTGCTCACATATATGGAGTGCAGCACCCAAACATACCTTAATGCTTTTGAATACCGTGCAAAAACGAGCTATCAAGCTGATCAATGACCCCGCACTTACTCGTAACTTGGATGGTCTCGAACATCGCAGATCTGTGGGCGATTTACCTCTCTTCTACAGGTACTATCACGGAAAATGCTCTGAAGAGTTGGCACGTATGATTCCACCGAGAGTAGCGCCTACCAGGCGAACCCGTCAAACAGACGGTAACCATGAATTTACTGTCAAACTAGAGGCACCAAGAACCTCATTATATCAGAATTCATATCTCTGGAGAACAGCATCGCTGTGGAATAAACTCCCTGCGACGGTTTTCCCTGCAGGGTACAACCTGAACCGTTTCAAGACCAACATACACCGACATTTCCGCGCACTTGCCGCTTCTCGAACGTGATAGGACATTTCTTGCGAGTGCGCATATCCGTAAAAAAAAAAAAAAAAAAAAAAAAAATATACTTATATATTTCCGACGTTCTTTTTTCAAAGATTTCGGCTTTAAGTCTGACAATAATTTATTTTGTAGAGTTTGGGGGTCCCAAATGATCATTTGAAGACAAAATAATGTTAAGACGACATATTCGAACTAGTCTATAATATGGAGAAACATTGGGGGTATCTGCAACTCGAGGTTGTTCACAGGGGGGAATACTATCACCCCTCCTATGGAATTTGGTGGTTGATGACTTACTTCAGTGTCTCGACTCGGAAAAGTTCTTTGCCCAAAGGTATGCTGACGACGTGGTCATAGTTAGGACTCTTGTGAGGCAAGAAGAATATTGGGGTGCACAATAAGCCAACAGGCTGCAGTGTATGGAAGGCCACAGGACCTAGACAGCTCCTACAACCAACCAACTTATACCTTTCGACTTGGTTCTTTTTCTATTTCATTTTAGTACAGTCCGATACATTGCACCCCATATTGAGAACAAATTCTCTTCGTTTTCAATCCAGTAAATTATTTCAACATACAAGAATAAGAAGCAAAAATAAAAAAACTACAAATAGTGAAATCATAGGTTGATTGTACTAAGTACCTACTCTTTTAAATGTAAATACGGCACAAGCCCATATATCTTAGACACAGTGTGCAATAAATTAATTGGCCCCTTGTAGACGTTGAATAATGCGACAACAATCGCAAATTTTTACACTTTCGTGTGTTGCGTTTCGCAAACATTAATTTTTCAATAACTTTCTCAAACTAGCCTACATCCCCAAAGGTTTTTGACCTCTTTTTTTTTCAAGGGAAACTTCTCTTGCTATACGTCTTTCAAGGTATAGAATTCGGAATGAAGGGGAGCAAATAAAGAAAAGGTGATGGTGGTTAAATAAAAGTGCGGCTCACGTATCAGGCCCCAGCAGGAAAGAGCGTCAAATAACGAGGGAGGAAAACCACCAACATTTTTTTGAATCAACGTAAAAAGTTTTCTCATAATTTACCACCATTTTGGAAAACTTGGAAGACAAAAGTGGCTTTTTACATACTCAAGATATAATTGCTCTAATCACATGTTGAACAAAAAAAAAGAGCGTGCATACATCCAGCGTTGAAATAATCAGCAAGGAAAATATGCCCAGTTTGCGTGTTAACAAGGGTGTATTTTCGTTTTATTTGTTAAAGGGTATTTAACCCCTCTTCAAGATTTATATCATGGGATCCGTATCAACCCTATAAATTTTCTGGAAGAAGGAGACATGTCATACCAAAAACGTTTACTTGAATTGCATTTCTCTTTGTATTTTCGGTTGTTTATGTTTGAAATCCATGAAGATACACTTAAGGAATGTTAATGATGAGTTGGTATAATTTTAATTAGAATCAAGTTTCTTAGCAAAATGTGCAAATGCTTACTCTGAACTGCCTTTCCAGATATCCATGAACGTTTGATTTTATTGGACAATGATTACTTTATTACTTTTTTCAGATTGATATATTCTAATAAGTCCTTAATTTAACAATAAATCCACTTCAAATCAAAACTGTATATTGTTTATGAAATGCCAACGCACTCAATATAGCTCTAAATCGATTCCATATACGCATATTGTATCCAATAAAAAGGTTTCATCATGCGGGATACCGCATACAGAAGCTCTCTATTGAATCGGACGGTTTGATAATCCAATAAAACACCACCGAGTCGTTTAATTGAATTCAATAAACTTTCGGGCGTTTAGTGGAGAAATTAAAAATAATTAGAGGCCATAATATCGAGCGAACCGAAACGGATGGAGTGCACACACACTTCGACTTTCCGAGTGCACTTCGTGTTTCTACTCAATTAGGGACGTAAATTATGATGAATTATGATTTTGTGTTATGGAAGCAAATTGATTAGTATACTTTAGGAATTATGATAGGATTATGTGGGTCCTAGAAATAGGGTAACTTTTTTTTTGGTAGGATAAGTTAAATTTATTGTTCACGATAAATTTGACATTGTTACGAAATCTAAAATTTTAAGATGAAAATGAAAGATCCTTAGTCTACTTCAAGCAGTCTACAACCTATATCCTCGGCCAGAAAAAAAAACTCTACGGTTGCTTTGATCAATTTTTGAAAACCATCAGGGATAAAATCCAGAAATTTCTAAAATTTTGGGCCATACGATTGTGATGTGATGTTTCTGTTGTTTTGCTGAATTGTCTGTTTCTTTATTTGTGTCTGTTTTCATGATCTAAACATCTAAAGAAATAGTTCCTAATTTAGAATGGTAATTTAACTGTATAAAGCAAACGGGATCTAAAGCGAAAAAAGGTTAAAAGGCAGATAAGAATCAGATGTTTGAAAGGTGTGCAATTTGCATATACCTACTTGTATTCATATTGTTTTCTCAGGCCTTTGAAAAGATTAGCGGTTTTAAGACTGTTTTTTGACGATTGTGAGGAGAACCTACACCGTCGCCTTGTAGGGTATTGCATCTCATTTCCGTAGTTTTTCTTCAATTTTAAAAAATCATGTTCCTGCGTCTTAGCTTGAAGTTCTCTAAAGATGTATTTTGAGATTGAAAGAATAAAATTGAGGTTTTGCTCTGTTGTCTAGTGAAGCATCGAGACAAGACGAGAATACACTCTCTGTAGTCTTGTCTCGAAGGTTCGAGAAAGAGTGAGTCTTTCGTCTCCACGACTCACGAGAGGGCCGTTCTCTCGTTTAGTCTCGTTTTCTCTCTCAAGGGAGCAAGAGAGCTCGAGAAATTCTTGATATAGTATTTCCAAACTCAATTGGAACAAGGTACCAACTCGTGGGTGACTGGTCACTGAAAATTTCCATAAGAAATGCACTGCCACTAGTCAGCCGCCAGTTATGATTTATGTTCACCTTGTTCCAGTTGACTTTGGAAAACTATACCTAGATACTTTTGGAGTTTTCTGAAAATTACATGCGGGTCCAAAAATAACACCCTACCTACCTAAGACCTACTAGAAACGAGAAAGTTAAGTTCAAATGTATCCAGAAAAGACGGAAACAAGATTAAAAAAACGAGAACAAAATCTTGTATTAATTAGAAAGTTTAATTTAGTTATTAAAAAATTACAAAAAAGAAAAATCACAAAATCCCTATTATCGGAGCGTGGAAACTCATTGTATAATCTCTAAACGAATTTAATCTGCATTTAAACTCCTAGTAAGTTGAGTAAAACTTTCGAGGTATTCTAAAGCTGTTACAGGAATCTTCACGAGACCGCAGCCACCAGCCACGGGGCTAAATAATATAAAATTTACCCCAAGTTTTACGCATTCCGACCGTGTAATAAGCTTTCCATCCGGATGCCTCTCCATATTTTTGGGCGAACGAGAAGGGAGAACTGGAATAGAATTTCTATTTGAAATTCCCATATGTTCAATGTCTGTTGAGTTACTGCTTCTTTTCTTTTATTGACCATCTTGTTCAATTGAATAATTTACTTATTTTCCTGTTTATTGAACATCTGGAGCAGATTTATTCAAATTCGTGACTACATGATTTTCACTTAAATATTGATTGACTTCATCACTTCACATCCTAATTTTATAATAATTGGGGAATTGTTTTTAGCTTCAGTTTGTCTTCTCACACGGGTGTGTCCTTTTGGTTTGAGTGACTTATAAAGAACGTTTTTCAACAAAAAAAAAATTATGAAGGATTTTTTATATTCTTTATATCAGAACTCATTTTCTCCAAGTGGTCCTACAGGCTCATGCCTCCGAAAACGCTATGCCGCCCCCGAAAACTTGGAAGGCGAAAGTGAAAATCTGCCACGGCGTGCTCCGTTTATTAAAACCCTTAATTAGCTGAGCCCGAAATTAACTTTGGCGATACGCCGAACGTGTTTTCTTTTTTTTTCTGTTCTGATGGGTCTCGATGACTCGACAGTTAAGTTATATTTTATTCTGGATAGCGGAACAAATTAATTTGTTTCCAGTCGGTGAATTTTATTCCCAAATTTCGCGGCTTTGATTTAGGTTAAGGTACAAAACAAATAGAAATCGGTATTGTGGTTGGAATACATGTACGAACTGAATTGAGATAAGGAACAAAAAAAATAAGGATTAAATCTGACCAAGCTGGATTTGTTGAAACCAGTTCAATATTTCAGTATCATTCCGTGCTGAAAATTTTCTCAAACTTCAAATGAAATTTATCTACGGCTTTTAGATCCAGCCTCAAAACTCTTTGTTCTACACTCTGCAGTTGATTCTACAAAGAAACTAAAATTCCAATTTGGGTTGCAGTGGAACACTCTTCAATTTGGTGTTAATTTTCATATTGTAGCAGAATTTTAAATTTCAAGGCTATGAAATGGTTATAAATTGTTTAATGAAAGGAATCTCAGCTATTGAAAATTGTATCTAAGGGTACTCTAGTAGTATAACATCACAGAAAGCAAAACTAAACTAATAATAGGAAGTCGTTAAATATATTTTTCAAAAAACCGGTCACAGTTATTAAGCAGTTTAGAATGGTTACATTTTGGGAATTATTAAACAAATCAAATAGGTATATAAATCATTAAAAAAAAAACGTATAGAGAGAAGGAGAATCGTAATATAAAGAAGGAACCAACCAACACACAGTGGGCCAATTAATCTCATGGGCCACGAAGCAATTTAGGCCGACTGATGTTGGCGGAAAGGGTTGAAATTGGGTAACTTTGTTAAGTAATCACCCTCAGGAGCGGCCTTTCCTTGTACAGCGGAAATATCTAGAAGAAGCACGTTCCGACGAACATCTTTTAAGTCTTTTGAAGAGTTTTGAAACGAGTTGTCGTGAGCTAGAAATCTGATAAGAAACTTATAAGTTTAATTATATTCAATTTATTATAAGTCTTGAACAAACAGAGGGTTGAAATTATTAATTTTACAGAATTTTCAATTATGAACTTGGATCGATATAGCTTGTAAAGTATTAGTTACCTAATTAACAGGAGATTATGGGTTTTTATGTTTGTTCTAAATATACCAAGCCCAAGAGCAGACAAAGTTTTTTTTCTAGCTGACAGTTAAGTTTAAGATAAATCATGTTTGTTCCAGATTTACACCGATTGGGCCAACCACTACTTGGAAAAAGCCAGAAGCAAAAAAAGGGTCAGTTCTCTAGCAACAGATTGCAGTGACGGAGTTTTGCTAGCCGAAGTCATTGAATCAGTTAGTAAGTATTATAGGGTGCCTATTAATAGCTTTAAACATAGTGAAGACTATTATTTATACACCGGGTGGATCAGGAAAAAGTCTTTATTATGAAATAATTTTTCAGCATCTGAATATGCATTCAAATTCAAATCGGCTCCATGATATGTTATATCAACTTTTATTGTGCAGGTATACCAAAGGAAATATTCTTCTGATAGCGATCTGAACCCAATTTGGCCTAGTTGTCAAAAAATACCAATGTTGATGAATTCCTAAGACTATAGAAGCCCAAAGTCAACGTTTGATGCTCAATTTCCTAGGCCTTCCTTCAAGTGAAAACTCAAACCGCATAGCTTAAACTTTCATTTAATGTAACGTCGCAAGTTATGAAAATTGATTCGGAATTGGGGAAAATATGTTCATGACATGACATTCTCTGTCTGACCATCCTATATGTTTACTAGGGTAATTAATTGCGTACTATCTGTTATTTCGGGTCTTTAATTGACTGTGAAAAATAAAAAGTCAAATCACAAAGATTAGGTAAGTACTTCTATTTTGTCTTTCTGAATCAAATTTAGAAGGACCACTTTAACATGGTAGCAGAGCGTGGTTACTTGCATTTTCCGACTATAGAAGGTTAGTAAAGTATGGAATCGAAGAAAGCTCAAATATTGTGTAAACAAGTTTGACAGAAAATATTTTGAAAATTTCAGGAGGATCGATGCGTTTGGTTTACTTGATGGCAGAATAAATAACTGGACAACTTGGAAGTTGTTGTATATCGCACTGTCACTAGTGGCAACACAGAAAAAAAAAAATGTTCTCCTAGTTGTCATATGGTTTTAATGTATTCTTATTCTAATAAAAAATTAAGAGTTATATAGGTACCTACTTAAATAGTATCGAACGTCTTGATGTACTGAATGTTATTCCTACCACAAAAGAGTGTTAGACCATCTCTGGTTGAACCTGATGCACGAGTCACACCCCAGGTAAATATTGTCGAAATGAAAGCCCTTGCACGATCCCATGTTTTGTGGCACAACCTGGACAGTTATATCGAAGAAAAAGTTAACACATGTACAGAATGTCAAGAACATCACAACATGCCCAAGAAGTCATCAACTCACCCATGGAAGTGGTCACGAGCTGTGGCCCTGGCCTTCATGTAGATTTTGCGAGGCCAGTGATTGGGAACTTCTATCTCATAGTTATAGATTCATAGGTACTCGAAGTGGTTGGAAGTTAGACAAGTCTTAAACAAGTCTTTATTCTCTACCATGAAGGTCCTCAGAAAGCTTTTTACGACACATGGTATACCCCACCTTACCACCCAAGTAGGTACTGGTCAAGCAGAGAGGATGGTACAAAACGTGAAAACGACGCTTAAGAAGATATAAGGAACAGATGTAGCCTTGAAGTTGTCACGCTACTTGCTTACACAGCACATTTTTCTACACAGTCTCACAGGAAAGTCTCCAGCAGAAATATTGATGGGACGCAAACGGTCCACAATAATAATAATGCTTCATTGTCAGAAAAAAATTTAACAAAATTCGTTGAAAAAGCCTTAAAAATAATATACATCTATCTGTATACAAAGTCAAAACAAAACAAAACAAACAAAATACATAAGTACTTCAAGTTCGAAGTATAAAATAAACTAAATTAATCTAATAAATTATTAACAAAGCAAATTACCTATAAACAATCCTCCAGTGAAAAAGTCATTCACCTTATAAAAGGCTCTTTCTGACAAATATGCTTTGAGAGCTATGCGGAATTTAGAAAGAGAAGATATGGACTTGATTTTTATTGGCAGATGGTTGTGCATTTTTTTTGCGTTGTACATAGAGCTCTTAAAGGGGGTGTGCGCCAAAAATTAGTTTTAGTGTGAAAAAATCTAAGAATAACTGTTCAAACCTCGTTATTCTACGATAAACCATCGCTGAGATATACCGCTTTAAAGTGTGGACGACGCTCTCGTGACGTCACGAAAACATCGTCCAGCCGCGCTCCGCATTGTTAATTTGATTGTTCCCGGCACGCGTGAGTGGTTTTTGTTTAGATTATTGCAGGTAACACAGGAGAAACATATGTAAATTTAATTAACTCCACTTTCTCGTTGCGTCGCTTGAGCTTTCGTGACGTCATACGGTGAGATGCGGTACCTTCATACAGCCATATCTGCGGTATTATTTGTTGTAGAGGGGTGCGGATTTCACTGTTATTGTTAGATTTTTTTTCTCTTCTTTTTGAGATGAAGTTGTTTTTTTGGCGCACACCCCCTTTAACTAATTATGAGGATGGGGTTGGCAGGTAAAGATCATGCTCCGCGTTTCTAAGTGGATAATGATGGAATGGCGTTTCTGAAGTACTTGATAGGTGTTTGCGGATTAAACAGACTGACTCTAGTATGAATAAGGTAGGGCCTTGGGCTCTAATCTTTAGCCTAAGAGAATAACGAATAGTCCGTTTTTGCACTTTAAAGATACGCTTAAATTGAGTCGCACCGCATGTACCCCAGAATGGAAGGGCGTATCGAAGATGTGATTCGAAGAGGGCAAAGTAGACTGATCTAGAGGTTGAAAAGTTAAGTTCCTTGGAAACAGATCTTATTGCGAAACAAGCGGAGCTCAATTTTTTGGACAAAGCATCAATGTGCAAGCTCCATTTCAGGGACTTGTCTATAATAGGACCCAAAAACTTCACAGAATCAACAACGTCAATAATAATGGTGTTATTAAGTGCAATAGGTTGCAACATACTTTTGTATGACAGATCTTTGGTTTTCGCGGCGTTGAAACAGAGGTTAGAGTCGCACCATGATTTAATGGTAAACAAATCATTGGACACGGTTCTATGGAGTGCTACAATATCCGGATTGCTCCAAGTGAAACTAGTATCGTCAGCAAAGAGGCAGATTTTACCGCTGATGTCCACACTGTTAGATAGGTTACATCCAGATTTCACTAAAGAAATGGCGACCAAACAAGAAGTTAAAGCAGATGCCAGCAAACCTAGAGCTTTCCAAGAAGGAGAAAGTGTATTTACAATATCTTACACAACAGGGCCAAAGCGAATCTCTTCCACGGTTACAGAAGCCACGGGCCCATTCAGTTACAGGGTAGACACTCCAGATGGAAACATTGTACGTAGACATACAGATCAGCATCGCAGGCGCAAAAGTTCAAATTCCAACCAAACTCTTCCAGAAACCGAAAAAGCGACGGAAATAAATCCACACGAGGAATCGGTACCCACCACCACGCGTAATTGAGAATGCCGGTAAGGTTGGAGGAAGACCACAACGTCAACGTATGCTGTTCAGGAATCAGGTACCTGGCAGATTACATCGACTAGAGTTCTCTTAGGGGGACGAGTATTCTGTCTCGGACTCTCAACAGTGGCAACACTGGGAAAAAAACTTGAAAAAGAAGAGACACTTGAAAAGAAGAAAGTTCTTAGTTGTCATATGGTTTTAATGTATTCCTGTTATGTATTTTTATTCTTATAGAAAATATAGAGATATAAAAATAATCTTTATCGTGTTGATGTACTGAGTGTTATTCCTACCACGTACTTAACAGAAGTACAAAATAGAGATACTGTTAAGTTCAGTCAAAGGTACTATAGAGGCGATTCAAGGTAAACGAATTCCACCAGAGCCCTCAGCCTCAATAGGAGATAAGGTAAAATTTGAGAAAGCTTTATCTGATTATACTGAGCCAGACATTCATGCTCTTCTTTCGCTAAACATGAATCAAAAAACGTTTGAAAAAGTTATACGTTTTGCAACGGCAAGGTATGCCTGGCTCGAGTTACATAGAATATTTGATGGTCAAGTGGAAGACAAAACGTTTGATTTATGCTATCACTTCTTCAGTTATACTAGTTAGCGAGAAGATGACATTACAACGCACACATCAAAACTCAAAGTTTACAGAATGAAATATCAAAAGAAAAACTCGAAAATAGAGATACTTGTAAGTGTGACTTACCATATCTTATTACACGTTACCTCCAGAATATTTTCCATTTAACCCCAGTTGGATTCTGATGTTAAGCAAATATAGAACGGTGGATAACTTGACGAATCAGTTAGTCGCATATGAGGAAGCTTTGCAAACGAAGAATGAAGGAGAAAGTAGCAGAGAAGAAGTTTTATATTATACAAGTTAGAAAAGTTCAAAAACAATTAAAATTTGGGTATGCAATTACTGTGGACTTGAAGCCATAGAGTTAGAGAATGTGCTAAATGAAAAGCTGATGGAGGATCCCTGAAAGCCGAGAAACAAAGTTAAGATAATAAACACAAGGACAAGAATATACAGGGCTTTCATTTCAAAACTTGCCACCCACGTTATCTGCGTAAAGAAACATATTTGCGGAAATCGCCGAAATACGTCAACAAATTTATTGAGGGGGAAGGCTTTTTACGGAAAACTGGACTTTGTTCCTTGAACCCCCTAAGCCCTGGGGCTACCAACTCAAAATTTCCAAATGAGACAACGAATCGAGTGATAGATCATTTCACAGGGCTGTTTAATCTGTACATTTTGCCGTCCTATTTTTTAAATTTGACCTCACTGTTGCAGAATAACACCCATTTCAATGTTTAAAAATGCCTATTTATCCCTAAACACACTTGCTTGTTTACCTGTTGCTGTAATGAAAAGGCAGGTAAAAAAGCAGGCGTGTTTAAAAATAAATAGGCATTTTTAAACATTGAGATGGGTGTTATTTTGTAACATTGAGGTCAAATTCAAAAAATAGAACGGCAAAATGTACAGATTAAACAGCCCTTTAAAATAATCTAACACTCGACCCCCTGTCTCATTTGAAAATTTTAGGGAGCTAGCCCTAGGGCTTATAGAAGGTCGAAGTTCAGTTTTACATAAAAAACCTTCCCCCTCAATAAATTTGTTAACGTGTTTCGGCAATTTCCGCAAATATACCTTTTTACGCAGATAACGCGAGTGGCAAGTTTTGAAATGAAAGCCCTGTATGTAAGTT